CGACCGACTTACTTTGTTAAGGACTTTCGATTCAATTTGAAATGTCGGGAACGTTTTAATTTTCTAAGTCTTAGATCGGCTCCGCGAAAATGTATTCGATAGCTCATTAAGTCTCCTTGTTTTTAGAAATTACAGCTCAATTCAAACATAATTTCAATTTTCTTTTACTCATTTTTCCAATTCTTTCAATATGTATAAAAAAAATTTTTAAAACAAAAGTTACTGCCATTGTTTTCTCATGACATACTGCTGGTCCAGTTATTTAATATTCAACATGATTCCATTTGACATAGGGTGCACCAGAGTTACTCCGTTTCAACAATGGATCTCTCTTTTCTTACTTTATCAGTAAACGAAGGTCCTTTTAGCACTTCCTGATTGATGTTCTCCTGCTAGCTGGTTCGTGTTTACTTCCTAGTCGTTCGACAAATCCCCATGGGTTAATGTACTTGGATTTAGATTAGCTTACATCCAACTTAATTTTAAAGAACTACTTGCCATTTCGAATGTTCCTGCTTATTTTTATTGATTACCACCAGTACCGATTAGGGTTAATTCCAGAGGATCTCTATACTCACCAACATAATTGTAGAAAAATAACTGGGAATAGCTATTCGAATTAAGAAGAAAAGACATGGAAGTTCTCTAAAGGTGTTTTGTTCTTACAGAACAAGGCATCTCCATATAAATCGCATGTTGCTATGCAAACAATTCGTAATTTATGGTTAGAATTACTCGAACACCCCTTTATTCACCAGATCTGGCGCCGTATGACTATCATCTCTTTCCCCAACTAAAAAAAAGTTAAAAGGTTATAAATTTTCTTCCGACGAAGAGTATTAAGAAGATTTTCAAATTTTGTTTGCTTCTGTAGTAGGCTTAACATTTTTTAATACCTATTTATAAAATATTTTCTTGACATTTTTGTAAGCTATACAAATTTTCTTCTTGTAATGTACGTTTATGTAACCCTTTCAAAAAATATCTACATTTTATTCAGGAAAACACACTAAAAACAATGTTTAAAAACAATATTTTGCTCACCGGCGACGATAGTGGCACAACTCAAAAATAATTGTTATGGATAAAATCCGTATTAAAATTAGATTATTATAATTTTAATTTTCCAAATGTTATTTGAATAACATTAATAAGTTTTGATTACTAAATTTTTATAGCCTGATAAGTTAACTTTGTGTTTTCAAAAAAGGTGATTTTTGAAATATATGGCATTATTGTTGAGTCCAAGTGACACAGTTAATATAAAAGCACAGCTACACTGGCTACACTGGCATATTTAAAGAAATTGATCTAAAATAGAGAGAGTCTAGTGACATAACTCAAAATATGTCATTATTGCCTCAACAAAGCATCATTTGTGCCACTATTGCTCACACACTACGACCCAAATCTAACCCAGTAGAGATTTGAAGTCAGAGGCATTTTAAAAATACCGATGTTGATACAGCATGTGGGCGAAATACCTCTTATGCCTTAATGACACATGCTCCATCGCGGAGAGACTAGCTTAACTAATTTTATGATAGTCTTGTTGGATAAAACAACAAGATCATTAGACAATATTTGGATACCGTTTTTCCCCAGAGATAGATTGGCCGAAGAAGTGCAAATGAGTGGCCGACAAGATCTCGCGACTTGAGTCCACTTTGTAGGGCTAATGTAAATGCGTTAAAGGATCGCATACGTCTTGAAATGCAGGCAATTTTTCCAGAAATTATCAATAATTATATTCGGAGCTTCCAAGATAAATTGTAATATTGCCAAAAAACAGATGGATAATACATTGAGCAACTGTATTTTTTCTTTTAGTCATTGTCTTCGGCAATTTTTTCTTGTATTTCTTTAGTCATATGGTACTTTTTTAGTACTCTTAAAAAGAGAAAAAATAAGCTTTTCTCTGGTAAATCGCTGGACCTACGTTGTCATTTAAAAAAATTTATAATGGCGCAAGAACGCTAAACGCTGACGTCCTGTAAAAATGCAGAACATAACCCTATTCATCACCTTGCAATTTTATAATTATATGTACATTCATTTGTTTCAAAGATAATATCTTGTTCACACACTTTTTTGCTACCCTGTATAATTCTACATTTAGTATTTTGATTTTAACGTTTTCTTGTTTTTATATCATAAAAACTTCTAATTGCTCCTGTTATAGTATCACTTACATCAATAGTCTTTAACTTCAGTACAATGTGCGGTTCTACTGACGTTATAGCTCTTTCTTCCCTATTTTCCTTGAATTTCACAATGTTTAAAAAAGAAGGAACATTTTATTAAAAAATATAGAGATTAAAAATTTAGGAATCACTATAATTAACCCCTTACCACATACTGTGCCATATTTGGCACACGTTCAAAATTATTATTTTTATTTAAGTTTCCAAAGAGTTTGTGCTGTCAACTCAAGTCGTCCCAATCTGGCACACTCGCTTGTTCACAGGCAGCCGCTAAATCCCCTCCACTATCGTACGCGCAAATTTGACAAATCAGTTAGTGAATATCTGGCGGGTGACAGGGCAAATTCAAAATAGAATATTTTTGTTCTTTTGGCCTAATTTGTGTGGAAAATCTTATTTTTATAAGGGTAAGTGTTTACTGTGATGACTAAAGTCGTGCAAAACTTTTTTCTATATAAAAACGAGAAAAAACTGTCTTTGTTTACTTGTGCCATATTTGGAACAATATGAGATAAAGATAATATTTTTGTACCGGATTTTTTGTTTTTCAGATGAATACCAAGAAGTTCTATGGAACAAAAAAAGTACAAATTCCAATGACTAATAGGAGTGATGATGAGAATTTATGTTCCGATGATGACCATCGAAAGAATGAACTAATGAATCTCATCAAACCTACAAAAATTTTGTGTGAGTCATCAGATAGTGAAAGCAATGCTTCATCAACTAAAGAGGTAATTATCGACGAAACTGACAGTGATACCGAATACGAAATACCGCTCTCTAGATTACGACAATCTAATCAAGATAAGCATCGTGATATAAATGTTCCCTCGACATCTAAATCTCATAGTGATACTAATTTACCACTGACAAAAAATGTAAAAAATCATAACACAAAAAAATGGGAAAAAAAGAAGTTGTCTGGCAGAATAGGTTCCTTGCTGTTACTGAAGAATTTGTGAAATTCAAAGGAGATGAAGCACTTCCAATTTTCATACAAGAAGATACCATTTTTTTTTCACGGACGAAATTTTTGCTTATATAGCTGAACAGTCAAACTTTTTTGGTGTACAAAGTAGCCCTGAAAAACCGCCCAATATATCCAAAGAACTTCGCATTTTTTGCGGTATTTGCATATACTTGTCAATTATTTAACTCCCCTCAACCAGATCCTACTGGAACCAATCGTTAGATATTCCCTGCATCTCACGTGCTATGACCTGCAATAGATTTGAAAAAATCAAACGAATTCTTTACATCAAAGACAACACACGCCAGGTTCCACAAGAGCAGCCAGGTTATGATAAGCTTTTCAAGATACGTCCATTGCTAAACAAAATTCGTGAACGTTTCTTACTTGTTGCTAAAGAGGAGCATATGGCTGTGGATGAACAAATTATTCCGACAAAAGGTCCATCAAGTCTCAAACAATATAATCCCAAAAAACCTCATTAATGGGGACACAAGGTTTTTGTTCTAAGTGGAGTGTCTGGATTTTCTTACGATTTCAATTTTATTGTGGAGCTACTACGCTTAAAAATAATCAACCAGATCTAGGAACAAGCAGCAATGTTGTAAAGCTTTCAGAATCAATTCCAAGAAATCTAAACTACAAATTATTTTTTGATAACTGGTTTACGAGCATTCCTCTACAAATATACCTCACCAAAAATTGTATTTTACCTTTGGGGACAGTTAGAGGAAATCGTGTGCATAATTTCGAATTCCCTAAGGAACCAACTATAAAAAAAAAGGTAGGGGTACAGTTATTGAAGCAGTGGCCAATGTAGATGGTGTGAACATATCTGTTGTTTCATGGTTTGATAATAAAATTTTGAACACCATGTCAACATATGTTGGGAGTCAGCCTGTACCGATGGTAAACAAATTCTGGAGGAAATCTAGGACATATATAGAAATCACCCACCCTCAATGTGTTGCGGTATATAATGCTTATATGGGAGGAGTAGATCTTCTCGATTCTATGTTAGGATACTACCGAATCCAAATTAGATCCAAAAAGTGGTACATGAGGGTATTTTTCTATTTCTTGGATATGATATCCATCAATAGCTGGATACTGTGGAGGCGAACCCTAAAAAATAATGACTTATACCTACCACTTTCAGAATTCAAACTTGGTATCTCAGAAGTTTTGACCAGAGCTTATAATTCAGAAAGAAAAAGGGGAACAAACTCAACTGGATCTCAAAAAAAAGAAATATCTTTTTTCGCAGATTCCAGCCCAGGAAATAAGAACGGACAACTTGAATCATTTGCCAACAGTAAGTGAAGCACGACAGAGGTGCAAATATCCAGATTGTAAGGGAAAATTCCAGATATTATGTGGCAAATGTTCAGTATTTTTATGTCTACATAAGGATCGCAATTGTTTTAGCAAATTCCACACGAAACAGGGCAAGATTTTCACTCTTTTATTGAGATAAAATCTATTTTTTAAAAATAAATCTGAATTTATACTTATTACTTTTGTTTTATTTCCGAAATGTCAAAAATTAGCATTGTTACTGTTATTCATTTTGTACCAAATTTGGCACAAGTCAAAGTTTAACATTTATTTCCTTTAAATATCGAAAAATATTTGTTTCACTATTTTTTCATAACTCCTAATCAATCATTCTAACGCATATATTTTTTTTTATAAAAAAATTAAAATCCTACAGTAAAGGGTCAATTTATTATATGTAAATATTAATTATAAGAGGAGTGAAAATATTTTCATAAAATAAGTAGGTACGTCTTCCTATTTATAGATTTAAGTTTAACTTTTTCAGCGTATTTAGCTCATAAGGAGATCCGAAGCCACCTTTAGCTAGGTCGAAACAGTTTTCCGTTCCGGTCGGAAAATCAATTTCAGTTCGTGTTGTTCTCACTCGAACTGCACGTGGGAAATAAAGATAACTCCGGAAGGCTAGATATCTGTTTTCGTTTCACCCCTCAAAATATCGGTTATCACCTCTGTTATCGTCTCACTCCATGTATTTTCTAGAATAAACAGTAAGAGTATTATTTTATACCTAAATAATAAGTGAAGTGAATATTATAATTAGTCAGTTTTTGACAAGATATGATCTGGTACAAAATATGTACCAATGAGCAGTTTTTTCAATTCTTTCATAAAAGCGGGTGCTAGTACTGATGGTCAAGGCTGGTCAAGTAAGTTAATTTGTTTTTTATTGCAAATTGTTGTTATAAGCAAGGGCTGTAGAAATATTTTTGCCATCAGTTTATTCATTATTCTATGCAGATTCCAATGAGCTGAATATGTAATATAGACACTTATTTATCTTATTGACATATTTTTTTCGACAATGATAAAGTTTTACGATAGTGCCTGATCAGAAGGCTAAATTTATGGTATTTTTAATGTCTGATAATTTTCCTTGAATAATCTAATTGATCCACATAAAATTTTTATATCTGGCAGTAAAGAAATATTGAGTTATATAACTTTTAATCCAATTTACTTACTAATAGAGTGATAAAATGGTTAACTGGTATATACAATGTGTCCCAGAACTCTGCTGCCAAACGGAAACCCTAATTTAACCTAAATTACCAACTTGAAAATGATTCGCAAAGGAGATAGAGCTCTATGAAGTTGGCTTGTTTATATTAGCATACCTATAGTTATTTTCTTAAAAAGGATCTAGGTAACTTTCTCCTTTTTTTTTTTGTTATTTCGATTATGTTATAATAATTACAAAGCCCAAGTATGACAGAGTGACTCACTCCTATATCTAACAAAACAGTCAAAAGTGCTTCAAGATCCATTAAAATTCACAAGAAATGTAGGTATGGCCACACATATTAATAATGATAATAAAAACAAAGCCCAGAAAAATAACCTGAGCAGCAGATAATAAGTTAAAATTAGTCTTTTTGGTTGATTTACCTACAAGCATGGGCGCCGCTCACAAAGGGAAGAAGGGGCGTCTGTCCTCTTGGATTTGTGATTTTGATTTTTTCACCATGGCTTCTGACTATAGTCTGCGGCATTTTAATCCTGCACACAAGACACTGTTTATTGAAATTTTAATACTTTTAATAAACTTTTTTTTTTTTTCGTAAAGTTAATATTAATTCTGTCTCAAGTTTTAACTTTTTCAAATAAAGACAAACATTTTCTTAAGAAGTCAAATTGAAAGGGCGCGCCTTTAAAAGAATCATTATATTTTTGGAAGAAAAAATTTTGGATAAATTTAAAATATCAAAGAAATGATCCATTGTATTTACAAATTGCTCAGTTTAAATTGCTTCCGCAGGAAGAGGTCCAAATCTAATAGATATGTAAACTTTTACACACATGAATTGAATATCTAAATATTTGGGTGGCTAATTTTACTCTCATTTTTGTTTTAGTTGGATATATGTGGAAATTTGTCAATTTGTATGCTGCTTTTACAAGAATTCTTTTATCTCTTTCATAATTTTTGTTTGCCATAGATATAATATAATAAAAACTAGAATGAAGTGCGGAGAAATTCTACCACATATTCCTGAGGTTTAAATATGACGATCTAACCCAATTTACCTCAGTCCAAAAGTGTATGATTTCGGAAATACAAAAAACTTAAGCTTTATTTCGGCCTGTGGTGAAATGATTAGATTTTGAGTAGAGTCGGAACATTTGGGGGGGTACTTTATTGATGGTAATTTTTATATTTTATGGAATATATCCGTTATTTACGTTTGGAGAAGAAAATTCTTCAAATAAAAGTTTCTTACAATATTATTATATATAATTTTTGTTCTATACAAAATTTGCCTAAAATGGTCCGTATTCGAGAAATTTGACAAAATGTCAAAAAATTAATTTTTTATAAAAATTGTTTAAATAAAAGTTGTTTGTAATATAATTGTCTATAATTTTTATTTAATACATAATTTCTCTAAAATGGACCGTATTCGAGATATTTGAGAAAATGTGTAAATTTCGAATTTTGAAGAAAACTCAAAAACGGAAGAATGAAAAAACATTAAATTTCAAACTTAAGTTTTATTTCGACCTGAGGTAAAATGGTTAGATTTTGGACGAAGGCGGAAAATCTGGGGGGGTACTTTATGGGAGGTCGTTTTTATATTTTATGGAAAATATCTGTTATTTACGTTTGGAGAAGAAAATTTTTTAAATAAAAGTTACTTCTAATATTATTTTCTATAATTTTTGTTTTATGCAAAATTTTCTTAAAATGGTCCGTATTCGAGAAATTTTACAAAATGTAAAAAATTATGATTTTTAAGAAAATTGTTGAACTAAAAAGATGTTTGCCATATCGATCTCTATATTTTTTGTTTTTTTACATGATTTCTCTAAAATGGACCATAATGGAAAAATTGCAGGAAAATTATAAAATTTAAATTTTTTAGAATTTTCAAGTTAGATGTACGTGGAAAATGTATATATTAAGTTAACCTCTAAATATTTACAGAGGTGCTACAATAGGTTTTAGAAAATAACCGAAAAAGCCCGTAATAATTAGATAGGCAAGTCATGTGTTGGACACATCAGATTTTTTATTAACAGTTCGGCTGGACAGGGGCGCATATATAGGGGGGTAATGGGGGTAAGTACTCCCAATAATTTTTAAACCTAACTTTTTATAGGTACTAAAGAGTACTATTATCAAAAATAAAGTGTTAAATATTAGGTACCACTACCATCCCCCAGACTTAAACTTCATTATCACCAGGAACGACGAGGGGAGGAGCTATAGGATATTTTTAAGTTTTGAATAGACAAGACCTTTTTTTAGAAGCTCGTCAGACAAAGAAGGTTTACGAAAAATACAAACTGAGAACCTTTTTTGTTTAGAAATTTCACCCTAATTTTATAAACCCCGCCAGCGCCGCTGCGGCTGGACAACAAGTATAGCAAAGAAAATATGCAAAAGGCTATTTCAATTTACAATAAAGGCCTCTCAACATGAGTATGCTGAAAAATCTTTTCACCTTTATCAACAATTTATAAAATTTAGTGTTTTCTAATCCTGGTATTGTTTTAAATTTCCTTCAGCATAATATGTTTGGTGAGGAAAGACAATGTTTATTAATTAAATATTTTTATAAACGCGGGAACTACAAAAACATATATTTTTATGTTCAAAAAATTTAATAAAAATGGTGAAATAGTAAAAAAAATCCTAACTCAAAAACGAACACTCTATAAGTGGATGAAGCCTACTGAATAATATGGTGGGGGTTGAAATAAAAAAAAATAGAAATCAAAAATCAAGAGCGATATCAACGTGAAAGGTTTAGAAACAATCAAGCTTTATAAGGGAATAAATAAATATTCGAGAGACGCTAAAATGGTGGTTCCCACCTTATCAAGACAAGGGTAAACTCGTAGCGTAACAAAAACGAGAAACTTTGACCGAAAGCCGATAGTAGTACTAGGACGTTGAATTTTTTGGTTTGTGAAGCATTGGCATTACTTAGGTTAAACCATGTGATGATTTTCACAAGCCTTGATTTTTAAAACCATTCTATATCGCCATTTGATTAGGGTTTAAAACTTGTTCTAGCAATTTATCCAATAATAATTGGCCCCTTTACCTCTTAAACCTGCTCATGTAAAATATTTGGGCTCCTTACTTCGCCTATTTATATTCTATCAATAAAGGACAGAAGAATGAGTAACGCAACTATGTTAAAAGAAATAAATTGGCTTTCAGTTCAGAATTATGTTCAGTACATGACTGATATTTATTTATAAAATAAAAATGACATAGTACCATCGCATCAATCTATTAGAAAAAATTCAATATAATTCGCAATATTGCAACTATAATACAAGAAGCCAATCTGACTTTCATGTTCGGCAAGCCATCACTAAAAGTTCCCAAAATACAATTTTTATTAAAGGTTTAAAAAATTTAATGCACTGCCTACAGAAATAAAAAAAAAAACAATAAATGTATTCAAAAGTAACCTCAAACAATACTTGATAAATAAACAGTACGAATATACTTTCTTGTGATAATACACTTTAAACCTGCCCGCATTTTAAAAAATTACTTGATGTTATATTAAAACTACTTACTATGTTTAAATTATTAATAGTTTTGCGACGATAGCCACAAAACTATTTTTGTGTTAAAGTAGATCCATAGAGAGAAATGTAATTTACAAAGGCCTTCTTTCAACATACAAATAAATGACAACTTTATAATTAAAATGAAAAACACAACAAAATACCTCCGTATCATAATTGATCAAAATTTGAAATGGGTTGATTACATTACGTCATTAAAAACCCAAGGTAACAAGATTCATTTTTAAATTTTATGAATTGAGGAAATTTATGACTAGAGGAGTCAACTAATTATTATTTACAATTCGCTGGTTGAATTTGTAATCCAAAATCATGTAATTAAAATTATCTACAAAAAACCAGCATTATATCTCTCTTTTATACAATAAAAAAGTGCTTTGTATAAGAACATTATATTGTCTGTCTTGCTGTACCTTTATTTATTACTATATATTACTATAAAATTAACAAATATTTATATTTATGCTTTATAAACATTACTAAATATATTTACTGTGTTTATTTCATACAAAATGATTCAAAAAGATAATCTTTTTAAATATGTCTCATCCTTTGAAATTCTATCCATTAAATTTTAAGTATCCATACTCAAACGACTTTATTTTAAGCAAAACCACTATAAACAAACCGATTTAGGATTTTTTTCATTCGGTTTGTCTTCGTGGTTTTCCAAATAAAGACATTTTCGTGAAAACTAAAACTTTAATGGATAAAATTTGGAGGAAGCAAGATATTTAACAAATTTTAAATAATCTTAATTTCCAAAAATTAAAAAGTTTTAAGAAATAAGAAAATCGCTGTCTTTTGGGAATTCAATAAAATATTTTGTTATTGTTTAAGAACGAAAGAAAGAATTAAGTCTACTTATATGTTATGCTTTTAGATGGACCTCAAGGTGAATCTTCTAATAATATACGGTTCAGTATTCAACCATTACCGGGTGATACAGGTTTTTCCCAATGGGTGAGTGCAATGAAAATGGTCGCTCAATTGCATGGAGGAATTCCTCCAGAATTTAGGAAGAGACTATGGTTACAATTAGCTGATAGACATTTGGTTGCCAAAGGTATTTATTTTTATATTGGGATTATGATAATTAGATTTTGTTGCGAGATATGCGAAATTCTGGGGGACCAAACGTCATTTATACGACATATGCCCAGTTGTACCAAACTCATGGGCGAAGTTATGTCATCAGATCTGGGGGGGCTAAAGCCCTAGCCCTAGTCATATAATATATAATAGTTCTAGAGGTATACTGAAGTTAAGTAAAAAAATTCTGGCGAATCTATGAAAATGGATAAAATATCATATATAATATATATTTATATCAAGTAAAAAACCTGAAAAATGTTCATCACAATAATTCATTAAAAAAATTTCCTCATTTTCGCAGTAATGAAATAGTAGTTTGTGCAACAAGAGTAGATATGGACAATTCACTCGAGTTGTAGAGTATATTTTTTCTATGAACCACTAAGGAAAATATAAAAATTTAAAAAATTATTTTAGGTTTAGACAAAATAACTAATTTTAAAATAATTTATGAATTTTATTAATTTATAAAATATAATAAACATAAAATAAGCCCCTTGTCCAGATTCGAACCCAGGCTATTCGCGTGGGATCTAGATGCTCTGTCCTCTGCTTCACTCCACTCCAGGTTTTTAGTTTTAATACTCGTAATTAAATCAGTTTCATACAATTTGATTAAAATTCATTTTTTTAAATGTGGCCCAAATAAAAATGCCATTTTTTATCGATTCTAAACAAAAATAACTAATTTTAACGTATGTAATCTTAATGTCTAAAAAATATACTGACAGAATTTAAAATTTTAAAAATAATAGTAGTTGGGTGTCCAAAATATGAATTGTGATTGGTGGATTTCATTTTTTTGCAGTTTTCTCACTATGTTATGTTGGGAATGGGGTGTTAATACACTGCGATCTAAAAGATCTATTGTGCCCCCTTCTGTCGCTTATGCAGCACGGAAATGTCTCGATGCCTATAACGATCCTTCCAATTATGTTTCCTCAAGGAAGTGTAGGATTTGGAGTGGCTTCAAGTTAGGTAAATTTCCCTCTTCTATTTTATATGCTCCTAGGTATAGTGCCCTTTGATTGGAGTGCTACACATTCAGTTAGAATGTGAACGAAGGTTTCGTCCTCCTCACAGAATCTGCAGTCACTATACTAATCTCAGTTTACTAAGGTGTCCTTTTAGTTTTCATTGTCCAGTAAGGATCCCTGTTACAAGTGTTCTCACTACTAGAAACATGTATAATATGAAAACAACTTCAAATACAATCTGGCTAATGTGGAACACCCCGAAAGCCTTGCCAGACTCATCTAATGATCGCCAGGCGCGCTAAATTTGGCACGTTCGATTGCTATTCCTTTCCTCGTTTAACTATTTGGCTTGTCAGTCCGACCAAAATATGGTTTTATAACCGAAACAGAAACTAAATTTCGGCTCCTTTCTTAGTTTCGGCCGAAACCGAAACAGAAACAAGAACTTTGTTTTAAGGCAATCTCTTATTGAAATTTGCAGTATCTTATTGTTTTAGACTAATTAACTCGTATTATAAATTTAAGCTACATTTACATATTACCTATTTATTTTTAGTGATCAAAAGTAGCCATTAATAAATTTATGGACATTCTTTTTTTTATTACATTTAAAATTAAAAAAAAGTAAGTGAATTACAAAGTATCAATCATTTCTGCATCTGTAGTAGATATTTTGTAACAAAAAATAGTATTATGAAGGGAATTATATATAATGTATAATTTTTATAAAAAAAAAAAAAAAATAAACAAATTCAGCGGATTAAATATGTTTGTTACTTATAATTAAATTAAACAGTCTAACGTTGTAGGGTAAAAAAAAATATTTTTCCACGTTTTCACCTAAAAAATTGCTCCTTTGATCCGAATAAATTAGGCCAGGAGCACTAAAGACTGTTCACTTGAAACAAAGCAGAGATGTTTGTGTGTACGTGCACTGTGTAAGAATGGCACCCGGCACAGTCGCCATTGTGCAGGACACAACCAAGTGTGATACGAAAACTTTCGAAAGTAGTTTTGCTGTCGGCTGCAGTTTCGGCCAGTTTTCCGTCGAAACCGAAACTGTAGTCGAAACTCTAATTTTAAGCCGAAGTTGGCCGAAACCGTAACCGAACCTTCGGTCAGACACTACTTGTGAGTCTGGCAGGCCTTCGTGATTGTAATTTTCAGCCAGACGTGTATTTTCACTTAGAATACCACTAGTGACTAAATTATTTCCGGAAATTTTTTTAAACTTAAGAATATTTTGAAATTTACTCGAAGACGATGGATAAGTTTCTTAAAATATGCGTGAGTGAGCAAAAATTTACTTATAATAATTTAAGCACATGTGGTATAGGGTAAGAAAATTTTACACCAAAATATCCAAATTTCAAAACTTGACAGACATACATTAAAACGACTAAAATCAAATTTTCGAAGGTGGCCATACCACAGCATATAAAACATATATTTTTAAATGCTGTGGCCATACCATGACCATTTGTCATATTTAAAGTCGTTTAGTTGACGCGAAAAACCTCATTATTATTTTACTTAAAATAAATGTAGTGTATTTCTACCTAGTTATAATTGATATTAAATAAAATATTAACCACTAAAACGGCAAATTTTTAATCACACTATCGCGTTGCGTCGTAATATTTTATGCATGGAAGGGCTTCTCAACTTTCAAAAAAATTTTCAGTATAATTTCGTTTAGGGTACCCACCAATAGGAAAATTAACGGAAATTTTTCTAGTTGTCATGGAAACGTTTTAAAATAACAGCATTTGATCGGCTATAAAATAGAGGTGTAAAATTACAATATTATCTATTACGTGACAAATTTTCAAACCCGGGAAAATAAAAGCAAAAATATTATATTTTTTCGATTTTGAAGATGTTACCAGACTCATTTGCCAATTTCGTAAATCAGCCAGACATTATTATTAACATTTCATGATTGTATCAATTTATATGCTAAATTTTATGCCACACTCACTTTCCACTATCTGAGATAATCCAAACTGCTATTTTTATAATCTTTTTGTTCTAGTTTAGTAAATGTATAATATTTATGACTGGGAAAATAAGAGTCAGACTCAAAAATTTTGTTTTTTGTTACTCATATACACGTACTGGAAAAATGAGTAGGTACGAAAAAAATTCACTGTCTCCTGAGCCAAATGTAAAATTGCAGAATCAATCAAATGGCACGATTCTTTTTATTTTTTAATTTCTGTTCTAAAATCTGAAATGTATGAGTAGATGTGCGATAAATGTTCGAATTATTTTTGGGGGGGGCTAATTTGGTTTTTGGGGGGGCTTAGCCCCCCCAAGCCCTCCCCTAACTTCGCCCATGACCAAACTGTGACAAACGTCGTACTAACTATACCCAAATGTCACAATGAAAAAACTAAGTTTAGTTGAACCTCGCCTGAACTCAAATGGTACAACTGAGTCTTAATGTTTAATCATTTAAGATGTCAGATAAAGAAGTATATAATTACGGTATCTGTTTATTGTGTTGATGGAGTAATAGAAAAAAAAGAAGAACGTGTCGCTGGTGGATTACATCAATATATTTTATGTCTAGATAAAAATATCCAGCTAAAACTCAAAGATTACAAACTCTGGATAAATAGAATAATTTCAGTTCAAACAAATTGTTTCGTCATTTTCATTTCTTTCGATTAAAATAATATAATTTTTTAGGAGTAGATTGGTCCAAAATTGAAAGAACATATTTCAGTGACTGGTCTCATGCCGCGGATTCCGATCTTGGTGTTCAAATAGTAAAAGACTTACATAGAACCGGATGCAGTTTATTTTGTGGTAAAGATGGGCAAGAGAATCAGGTTTTATTAAAAAGAGTTCTTTTGGCATATGCTAGATGGAATAAAGCTGTTGGTAAGTAACTTTCACTTTTAAATTAAAAATAAATAAAATAAAAAACGAAAATGTTACAAACAAATAAAATATAAAAATAAGAATGATGGAAACATGAACATATAATATAGAAGTTCTAAAGAATAAGGTGACTGGGAAAAATCCAGAGTATACATATAATGTATTATTTAGAGAGCTTATTGGTAAAAAAAGAATGCACGATCTGGGAAAAGTTGGAAAAAAGAAGTAATGGTATCATTTCTTTATTATATTTAGATTAGTATGTAATAGAATCTTTAATTTTAATTGTAAAGTAAAGAAATCGAAACTACTGATTGTATATTATGTAGATTAAATTAGATTTTAAAGGAGTTGGACATTATTTTGTCAGCCAGGCCTTCAAACTGGCACAGAACATAGATGATTGATTCCTCTTCTTCTTCACAAAGCCTGTACAATGTTGTTTCTTCTGCTGGATTAATTACACCCATGTGCCTCCCTAGGCGACCATGTCCAGTAAGAAGAATAACTGTTATCTTAACAATTTGTTGTTTTTGATCCAGTAGGTCTTTCGTGAATTTGGCCGATGGTTCCTTAATGAGCTGATACTCTTTTTGCATTTATTGTTTAATTATTGTTCGACGGATGCCTTAACAACTTCCACAGAAGGCTTCGGAGCCTGTCATAGAGTCATCTGAGCCTTCTTGGGCTACTTCGTCAGCCTTTTCATTGCCCTGATATCCTCCTTGGTCTGATACTCAGGCTAAATTCACTTAGTTTTGACTACTTAGTTCTATTAAATCTTCTAGGTAGTCTTTCACCAGTCGTGATTTGATTTCTGTTGAAAGAATTGCCTTTAGAGCTGTTTGGCTATCAGAGTAGATGACAATAGTTTTGCCTGATTTATTATATCTCTTGCACAGTATTGTATGGTTATTACTTATACCTGGAATACTGATGCGTATTTTCCTAGACTCAGCGAAATCATTATTTTCGACTTGGCTGCTTCCTTGGCTACTTCCTTGGCTACTTCCTTGGCTGCTTCCATGGCTGCTTTCTTGGATTTTAAACCGTTAGTATACCGAGTCGTGTTTTGTTGCATGTTTCAAAGGATTCCTGGCAGATAAATTTAAAAACTATCCATATTCATTTATCACGGCAGTGTCGTAGTTTTTAATTGTAAACATGGTTGTAGACGATCCAGGTTCAATAAAATATGATTACTTCCTGAAGCAACAAATTAGTATTTCTGGAACATTGCCAAATAGACTTATTTATATTATCCAGACGTATCCATATTCTACAAGTGCGTGTAGGCTACTATAAAAGGCAATTTACTAGAAGAATTCAAGACGCGACTGTTTATATTAATTTATTTCTCTCGATAATCTACAAAAAAATTGTAGATATGCTTTTAAATTTTAGGTTACTGCCAAGGATTTAATATGCTTGCAGCTTTAATCCTACAAGTCACCGAAAAAAATGAGAGCGATGCTTTGAAACTTATGATCTATCTTATAGAAGGCGTTCTACCAGATTCTTATTTCGCTGACAGTTTAAGAGGATTGTCAGTGGATATGGCGGTGTTTAGAGAACTATTAGCGTCTCGACATCCACGTCTTTCTAAACATTTAGATAATTTACAAAATGCTGCAAAAGATGGCAGTAGAAGTTATGAGCCTCCCCTCACAAACGTGTTTACGATGCAATGGTAAGTGTAATATTATATACATAAGTACGTATGAAACTATTTTCAAGGGTAATATACCAAGACCTTGATAATAGACAGTTATTTTTGTTGAATCTAAATTTCGAGAATATTTTAATACCAATTTGATGAGACATAATTTTTGGCATTAATAATCAATCATTTATTCCGAGGGCCGGGGACGTTGTATAAAAATTATTTTTCTTCCTATGTTACATTGTATTTTTCGTCAACCAGGTTCTTTTGAAAAAAACGTCCTCGGCTAAAGCTGTCGGACCCCGGGAATTTGTCCCCCCAGTCCCCCTTCTCGTCGGGCCTGCTTCTTATTTGTTTTTTATTTTCAGGTTCCTCACTCTTTTTTGCAACTGTTTACCTCAACCTACTGTTCTTCGTGTTTGGGATCTTATTCTCTTAGAAGGCAATGAAATACTTCTTCGTACAGCTTTGGCAATATGGCAACTATTAGCCGAAAGAATACTAAGCGTGCGTAGTGCTGATGAATTTTATTGTATGATGGGGGCTTTGACGAGGGAACTCCTCGAAGATGAATTGGTATGTATTTTAATTTTTTAAATGAATTTAACAACAAATATAAATCTTAATTGTTGCTTGAACCTGTTATTAATAAATTTTGTTTTTTTCGCAGGTAGATGAAAATGTCCTCATTAAATCAGTAGTAGCCATCAGACCTCTTATAGAACTAAACACTCTTAGGGAACATTATTTATACAACTTGAACCCGTGGGGTAACACAATACCCCAATCAGTAGACAAACAACTGAAACTACATCCTAAACAAAACATCGCTTTAGATATCAGTGGCTTGAAAATGCAATATACCAAATTAAAACAAAGACAGAGGCAGGCTCATATAATTTTTTCTGCAGCAATATCTAGACCTACTCCACCTGTAACGATGAACCATTTGTTAATAGGTAAAAATTCCCTAATGCCAGCAAAAAGAATCGGACCGCCAAAATACGTTATTCCTCCCGTCAGAAAAGTTACACCAAGTACTTTACATTGGAAAGATGCTCCCAAACAATCTTCTAGCTCTAGTTCTAGCGATACAGAACTTTGCGATGAAGAATCGGATTCTTTATCGTCTGAAGATGATGCTACTAAACCAAGTCAATTCGACAATCTTACCCTCGATAGTGATACCAGCCTTATGATAAAAGACAATACAAGTGCCATCTTAGATTTAGATAATCATAAAAAAGACACTCATGAATTTGAAAATAGTGTAATTTTATTTAAGTCAGAAACTGAAGATGATAGCTTCAATTTCGAACAATTTTTGTCCGACAGTCCTAAGCCTACAGAAGAAGACACTAAAAGTGCCACCTTAGATTTAGATAATCAGAAAAAAGACACTCATGAATTTGAAAATAGTGTAATTTTATTTAAGTCGGAAACTGAAGATGATAGCTTCAATTTCGAACAATTTTTGTCCGACGGTCTTAAACCTACAGAACAAGACTCCGAGGAAAAAGTTAATTTGGTTCGTAGAAACAGCAACAGAGCAATGCAAATTATTCAAGAAAATTCTTTAATTCTACACAGGATACTGCAATGTCAGTCTCGTTTGTCTCCATCGCCACCTTTATTAGAGCCAGTAGAATCCACTTTAGAAACACATTTGCCAGCGTTATATAAAGATGTATCATTCATTGAAGGCAACGATGATAATCAATCATTAATTGAAACAATATCTCCTATTTTGGATAGCAGTGTAGATTTAAAATGTCCCGAATATGGATCAAAATATAGCAATATACTTGAAAAGAGTAAAAGTTTGGATGAAAAATACCACGCACTTATTTTGAACAACCCTACGACGAAACCATTTGGACAGTTGACAACAGAAATTAAAAATGAAAATTATCAATCAAAATATATAGATACTAAAACAAATAGTAGTAAAGAAAATGATAACGAATCAAAACTTTCGCATAATAAACCTACATTGATTTTGGAATCTGGTGATTTTACAATAATTAATCAAGAACCTTTAAATGATGTAGACAATATTCAATCTAAATATTTCAAATTAAGTGAACCTGAAAGGTTATTGAGTAAAGGATGGGATCAAACAACCAGTATTAAAGTTGGTAAGTTTGTTTAATATATTTATAGTTTATCAGTTAGTTGTGGCCATTGTTCGATGGAAGCGATTTTTTCCTTATCTACAGCTACGTCATCCTTGCTGACTATATGACCCAGGTAATTGATTTTATTTTGAAATAGCTGGCATTTCTTGGGGTTTAGCATCAATTGGACAGCTTGGAGTCTTTTAAAAACATCCTATAAGTTCTTTAGATGTTCATCAAAGGTCTTTCCCAGAACTATGATGTTGTCTAAATACACCAGACATGTTTTCCACGATAACCCTCTCAATACGTTTTCCATTAGTCTTTCAATTGTCGTGGAGGCATTAAATAGTCCATGATGGGTCCATTCCCACCTGCCAGTATCCAGACTTCAAGTCTAAGGTAGAGATTAGTTTACTTCCAGCCAATGTGTCCAAGGTATCGTCGATTCGAGGCAGAGGGTAACTGTCTTTCTTGGTAACATTGTTCAACTGACGGTAATCCACACAGAACCTCATAGTTCCATTAATTTTTTGGACCAGGACTACCGGAGAGACCCATGGGCTGGTAGAAGGTTCTTCATTTCTTGAACAATCCTTTCAGCTTCCTCTCTCTTGGCCTTTGGTAACCTTCTAGCTGATTGACGAATCGGCCTGGCGTCACCAGTGTCAATTTTGTGTTTTACAACAGAAGTTCTTCCTGTTTTTCCTCCTTTTGGTACAAAAATGTCACGATATCGTCGAAGAAATTCCTTTATTTTCTTCTTCTCTGATTGATTCAGAGATTGGCCAGCAACTGCAATCATTTGCTCGAATTTGTCGTTGGAATTATCAGAAGTTGTTGTCTGATGAATTATGGAAGTTACTGGTACACAAGTTCCGATTCTGGTCTCTTTTTTGATGGTAATCGGGTGATCATTAACGTTTATGAGACGACCTGGAATTTCTTTAGCAGTCGTGACCAACCCTTTTCCGATTAGAATGCCTCGTCCAACCTCTTCATCGTGGTTCCAAGGTTCCATCATTACAGGTGTTCCTTCTTCCATAGTTTCTTGAAGCCGTGCTACTATAACGGTTTCACTTCTACCAGGTACCACCGTATCCTCCTGTACAGCAACTGGCACAGTACTGTCCGCATATGGATGTAGGAATACCTCTTCGGCACCAACTTTGATCACTCTGTTTTTAAAGTCCAACTGGAAACCATGTAAGTTCATTACATCCATTCCAAGAATCATATCTTCTTCAATATCAGCGACAATAACAGTATGAGTGAACTTTTCTATACCAATTTCCAATTGAACCTGGATTTCCCCATAGATGTTGGCACTTTCACCTGTGGCAGTCCGCAGTCGCAATTTTGTTGGTAGAAGTCTCTTACAGTTCTTTATGGTTGTTGGTCATATAATGGTCCTAGTTGCTCCAGTATCCACCAACAGTGTATACTTTTTACCATTTACTTCGCCGTCTATGTATACACTATCATCGCGACATTTCAAAGAGGCTATCAGTACGAGAGGGTCTTTGGAGTTTTCCTGCGGCGTGTTGTCTTCAATTGTTAGGACCCTAGGGCGTTTGCACGAACTGCGTACATGCCCCAGTTCACCACAATTCCAGCATCTGATGGTCTTTGTCTTCATCTTTTTATCAGTAAAGGTCTTCATTATGTTAACTAGTTGGTCGAGTTTATCTTCTACGTTTTCTTCTTTTACAGTTCTCACTTTACTGTATTCTCCAGAAGCCTGCGTAGCTGCCTCATACTCTAAAGCAGCAGACAAGACATCGACCAATGTTTTGTGGCGGGATAAGCGGAGTGTTTTCTGCATCTCGTGGTCACGGAGTCCATCAACAAATGTTTGGACTGCTAAACATTCCATCATGTTTTCCGGAGCTGATGGGTAGGCAAATCGCACCAATCTGGCAATATCTACTTCATATTCTTGAAGGGTCTCGTCTCGTTTCTGTTTGCGATTCTTTAACTGTGACTGGTATAGATGCTCCAAATGTTCGTGGCCATATTGCATGTTAAGTCTCTTTTTTAGTTGTTCAAAATCATCAGTCTCTTCCACGGGTATAGTCTGAAAGACATCTAAAGCGTCTCCTCGAAGGGCGATTGTCAGATTCACTGCCTTTTCTCTCTCATACCACTCGTTTACTCTGGCAGCTGTTTCGAACTGCTTAAGGTAGTTCGTCCATGACATCTTTCCGTCGAAAGTTGGGGCTTTGACACGAGCAGAGTTTACAGCTCCTTCCAACTTTAACTTCGACTCCACCTCATGACACTTTATTTCTCCGTCCTTGGTCGGGTCTGAATGTTCCAGTTCTTCTATCTTCTTTTCCATCTCTTTTATTTTCTCTTCAACGGAAGTCATCTTATTTTCCACATCAGCAGAAATTTTATTTTTTAGCGAAGACATATCAGAAGAAATTTCATCTTTCAAAGAAGAGATTTTGTTTTCTAAATCGGAAGAAATTTCGGTTTTTAAAGATATGTCAGAAGTCACCTTTTCTTCTAAGGAAGAAATATCGGACGAAACTTTACTTTCTAATGAGGAAATATTAGAAGAAACTTTAGTTTCTAATGAAAAAATGTCAGAAGAAACTTTATTTTCCAATGAGGAAATGTCTGATGAAACTTTAGTTTCTAATGAGGAAATATTAATTTTCATGGAAGACATTTTACTTTCCATATCGGAAGAAATTATAGCAGATGCATCATCCGAAAATAAAAACGTTTCCGGATCCAAACCTTCATTTTATAGTGCTTTTTTAAGTCGTTTTGCCAGCTCTGATTTCTTCCCTGCCGTCTCCAGTTCACGTTTTTCTAATTCTCGACGTAGCTCAGGCACTTTTAAATCACACAGTCTTTTAGCCATTATTGTCCACTATTTATTTATAGTTCCACTTCTAACACCAATGTGACGAAAGTCTAATTTATTTAAAGTTTATTTATTTAAAAACACACTACAGTGAAACCTGTGTAAAACGGAATCGCACGGTCGTGCACCGATTTTCCGGCATATACAGGATTCCGCGTTACACAGGGTAGATAAAAAATTGCACATAGTAGATTTAAAAAAGTGATGATTTTATTAAAAAAAATCTAATATACGTACATTTAATATATAGTTGTTATTATTACTATGTACCTACATATTTTTATTTATTATTAGAAACAATATAAATTATTATTTATTCCACATTTCTATCAATGTTGTTTTTTATTCTTTTGTAATACGTAAGATGATTTCATGAATGTCTTTAATTCTAAAATCTTCTTTCTCATCGGTTCGCTCTCTATTCTTTGGGAAAAATCCTCTAACGCTGCAACACTCCTCAAAGCTTCAGAAAAATTTTTTATCCGATCGGATTCTTCAACTTCTGTTCCTGTAGATAAAAATAATAATTTAAGAACAGATCGTTTTGAAAAGCTAATGGGAAAATAATTTTTTCTATCTGTTATTTTTGTGATGGTAACTGAAATCTTCCTATCTTATTTTTATTATGTATTTTAACTTTATTTCTACTTGGCCAAATGCCCAATTAAGATGGAAAGAATAAATAAAAAAGTTGTTTATTTTTTTAGAGAATTAGAAAAATCGCTTACCAATTCCAATCCCATCATTATCGTCTGCCACAGTAGTTTCCACGGCAGTTTTTTCTAACACCAGTTCTTCTATGGACTGAAATCCAGCATTTGTTGTAACGGCTTCATCTAATGTGATGTAATCATGAACATTACAACCGGGATTAATTTCAGTAATTAACTCTTCGACTTCTTTTGTACTTTCGTCAATTTCGTCAACATTTTCGATTAGGTCAACGTCTCCATCTTGCTTGATTCCACATGCCGCAAAACATTTTTTAACACAATCAAGTTTAATATTTTTTACTGAATAATCAATCCATCTGATAGCATCCAAAACTGATATTTTTTAGCCAAATCTCCTGCTGATTGAGAGAATCTCATATTCGCAATAATTGACCGCAGCACTTGTTTTCTGTAATGCATTTTGAAGTTTTGTATAACTCCATGATCGAGAGGCTGTGTTTGACTTGTGGTGTTTGGTGGTAGAAAACACAATTTTATATTGGATAGTATTATTTTGGGGTGACACGTTGCATTATCCAAAAATAGAAGGATGTGTCGATTTTCAAATTTCATTTTTTGATTTAAAATTTTTAGCCACTGTTCCATAAGAACTGATGTCATCCATGCTTTTTGATTTGCTCGCCAATAAACTGGTAGCTGAGGCACATTGGTATTGTTAAAACATCGCGGTCTGAGGGATTTTCCAATAACTAGAGGTTTTTCTATTTTTCCGTCAGCAAAGGCGCAAAACAAAACGGTTAACCTTTCTTTAGATTGTTTGCCTCCTTGACATTTTTCACCTTTAAAGCACATTGTCTTGTCCGGCAGCGCTCTATAAAAAAGGCCAGTTTCGTCACAATTAGCAATGTCTTTTAGGGTATATCCTTTAATTAAATCTGTAATGTGCGATGTCCATTCAGTCACAGATTCCATGTCGACGTCCTTAGCTTCACCGCAGATCTGATTAAATCTTATGTTATGTCGTGTTCGAAAACTTTCCAGCCATCCATTCGAAGCTTTAAAATCTACTTTTCTAAAATGGTTTGCAATTTCTCTTGCTTTTTCTTGAATAATTGTTCCAGATACAGGAAGATTGCGAGACCTTGCATCCATAAACCATTCCAAAACTGTTGAATTTACGTCGTCGTGATATGATTCCTTTAATATCGCCATTACCACCACGCATCCACTCTTCTTTAATTTTTTCCTTGTTTTTCAAAATTTCATACACTTGCGTTTTTCCGCATTTAATAACCAATTGCTTTGGAGTAAGTTTTTTTTGGTCACTACATTTAATTAAGTCCATTTTAGATTTTAGCGATAATGTATTCGTTTTTCGGTTTGCCATTTTGAAATGTTTGCACTTTCACGGATAAACTCAAACTGCCGTACCTACACAATACTGGTTTATTTGTGTATTTACTGCTTTTGTACCTAAATTTCTGTGATAATGGTTCTAAGTATTGATAATAGTTCGCCCTTATTATGGGGCTTTCCGAAATCATAAACTAATTATGTAAACATCTATAAATTCTTTTATACCTGCAAAGCAATAACATAAGTAGGTTCCGGCTTAACAGATTAGGGAAATTCCGTGTTCGCGTTAGACAGGGTTCCGGCTTATAAGCAATTTTTACATTACAATATGTAGGTAATCGCCAAAATTTCCGTCATACACAGGATTCCGTGTTACACAGGTTCCGGCTTACTCAGGTTTCACTGTATTTACAATTTATTTCAGACGTTCTATTTAATTTATATAATATTCGAACACTAACTAACAATTCTAATTTATTTCTTACACTTTTACTTTTCAATACAACGTTCTATATTAAACTCAACTCGGCGCTGATACGTCCTCTATTTATATTAGTCTAACTCCGCTACTGGAAAATGCTAAAGACTTCGCGAAGATGACTAAACGGTAATCCCCGCCATTCCAGATGTTTCGAGTGAATCAGCGGCAGATATTCGAGAGCGGTCCGGCTGTTTCCACACGTCAGCGTTGCTTCGGTCACGAGTTGATTGCGTGCGTATACAGGGTCGGATCGTATCAGGAATATCATGACAGTATTTTATGGATTTTGCCTGTAATTTTATTTGTGCAAAACTCTCCACATAAATATTCCGACAAAATATACACAACACAAGGTATCTACGTAATGAAATATGATAGATCCATTAATAATGAGCGATTTGAAATATCCGTGTGTCCCTTATCTACGCAATTAACGTATGATCTTGTATAAATATGTTAAAGTTCATCAAGGATCTCATTAGAATCTTTTAAATCGCACATCGACAAGCTTTCGTTCGATGAAACCAATCCGATAATAAACTTTTTTTTAATGTACTACCTACATCTAAATCAAACAATTTTTTTACAGATAACCAATGCACGAGCTTGGAAACAATCAAAAAATTGGAAAGCCCTTCCACTGATAAGGAAAAAATAATAAACATTGATTTGAAAGAAAATAATTTAGAGTTAAACAGTGATACATTTAATATTTATATGTATAATGATCACCAAAATTATAATTCTAGAATAGAAGCTTGTTTTGAACAGGAAGGTTTAGAAAATGTTGCTGATAATAAGATTAATGAATACAATTTTGAAATAGAAATGTTACAGAATAAAGAACTAGAAGGATTTAACAATAGACCTTCTGATACAGAAAAGTTCAATACAGAAATCGGTTCAATACAACCTTATAGTAAAACTAACGATAAAAATGAAGTTTCTGGTCTACAAATGTATAGCAGCAATGACGAAATTCCGAATAAGTACACATTTTCAAACCTGGATCATAAATTTGAAATAAACTGGGCTGAAAAACCACAAGACACTCTCGTAGATAATAGCTCCAAATTACTTGAAGTGTCGTCACCTTTAGAAACAACCATTTCCTCTACTTGTTATAATTATTTTAATAATAGCGATTCAAATTCGAAAAATAATAAGGATAATGAAGAGATCGTCGGACATAAATATACAGAAACTTGTGATAATAAAAGAAACGTTACTACTAATCCTCTCAACTTAGAATTAGAACCATCTATAAGCTCAACTATAAAATCTTATAAGTGTTTGCCAAAATCTCCACTTTCTCCATAATATTTTTCTGGTGCCTTTGGCTTGAAGGCAAATTAAAAAAATGAAAGCTGAAGTAAAGTCTTAACCTAATTTTTAATAGTAGTGAATTATTAGTCATCTTTGATGGCGAGAGCAGACATTTCGAAACATGCGGCTGGCTACAGCTTAAAGATTGATTGCACATTAGGGAGCTTAAAAATACAGTCCAGATGAACCACCAGGTGGCGCTGCTAAGTGTCGCCAAAGAGCGACCATAACTGCCTATATTCCGTTCTCGGTTAACCTGATCGGCAAATTATTAGATTCCGAAATCTGGTTGGTATACAGACATATTGACATATCTATGGCCAAATCCACCGATATTTTCTTGTATTAACAAAAATATTTTGTTGTATTAAAGAAATACATTTTGGTACCCATAGCACTTCCGAGCCTTTCGCGGATTAATTCTTGAACATCGCTCGAGTCAGATAGTAATATTAATAACATTATTATATTCGCTGGATAATGGTAACTGAAAAACTCCCAAAAATGAGTTACTATAGTCTTCGTTGCATAAGTCGCTATGTTCTCTTAATGTTTGTAATAATTATAAAATGGCCAAACTTGTAAGCATTGTTATTATGATGGGCCCTTATTTATTTATAAATATTTCATTCACATTATTAATAATTTTATTTCCATTTAAACGATTCTTTGACCTATTTTCGTTCGTATTTAAAAAATGAAATGAATATTAGGAAAAATGCAATAACAATAAATCAAAAAAAAATTATTTCTAATTTTGACATATAACATGACATTTTTTGTAATCGAAGCAAGGGTCAAAATGATCTACTTTTCGAAACCAGTTTCACAATATTCAACATTATGCAACTGGTTTTAAAATCAATAATATACATTATAATACTTATGTATAAAAAGTAAGGTAGATAATAATAAAAGTTTATTATTATTTATTTATTTTTAATTTAAAATATAGAAGGCGGGGCAAATTTGACTTGAAAAATTCTCTGTACACCAGAAATGACAATTTATTTATTTTTTTTTTGTTAAAAAAAAATAGGAGTAGGCTATTAAAAGTGTTAAGAATTTAAGAAGGATGATAACAAGTCCTAGTTTCTTAAATTAAATTAGGCGATATCGTGTATTTTGACAAATCTGTCCCACAGTGGGGTAGATTGGACTTTGTAAAATATTGAATGGGGCAGCTTTGACACATTGTACAATTTGAAAGAAAAATAAGACAGACCTATTTTATGGTGTTAGCCCCCAGCAGGTCCAACGAATTGCTTATGAATATGTAACAAGTAACAATATAAAGCACAATTTTAGTCATTTATCCAAAATGGTAGGAAAGGACTGGTTTTATGCATTTTTAAGGAGGAATCCTACGATAAGTGTTCGGAAGCCGGAAGCAACCAGCATTAATAGGATAACCGCCTTTAATCGAGAAGAGGTAGCAAAATTCTACAAAAATTTGGAAGGAGTAATGTCTAAAACTCAATATCTGCCAAACCAAATATACAATGTCGACGAACTGGAATATCAACCGTTCAAGATCCTGGTACCATTGTCGCGACCAAAGGAAAAAACGTATTGGTTCTGTAACAAGCTGGGAAAGAGGCAAGACCATTACAGTTATCTGCTGCATGAATGCAGCTGGGAGCTATATACCTCCATTTTTTATCTTTCCTCGGAAGAGGACGTCTCCGCTTTTGGCAAAAGGTGGACCTCCATGTGCTGCTTATAAATGTTCGCCCAATGGCGGGTCAAATGAACAGTTATTTTACGAGTGGATTAAACACTTCATAACATATTCGAAATGCAGCAAAGAGAACCCTGCTTTATTAGTATTAGATAATCATAGCAAACCATTACTCAAAAAATGCGACGGGGCAGTTTTGACACGTGTCAAAACTACCCCTTCATCAAATGGAAAATCTACCCCACCACCTCATTTTAGGAATTTTCAGTTATAAGCTAAAACTCAAATTAGGCATTCCAAACAAAATGGCTGACCGTTTAAACTGACAGACCAGTGACAGACACATGACATGTTATAATATAGCAACACTGGTTTGATAGGGTCAATAATATAGACAGTTATATAGATGGATCATTCACGAATTAAAAAATAAACATAAGCTTATGCTTATTTTTTTTTTAAATATCCAAAGGCTGCAAATTGGTTTTAAAACACATTTTTTTCTAAACCGATTCAAATTAGGCAATATGGCCGTCCGCAAATGACCCGCTTTGAGGAATCTATATAACTATATATGTGTATCATTGACCCTGTTAATGACAACATGACAACAGGGTTGCCGCATCTAAACTGTCAGATTCCACTGGTAGCCATTTGGACAGGTCGTTGGAATGTCTAATTGCTTACACTCCGATTTGACAAAAAATTACGGTAAATAGTCTAGTTATATAATAATAAAAAATGTGTAAACGTTAACGTTAATTTATTTTAACTCACCTTAATTTACAAATTCACAAAAACTACCACAAACCGTCCGTTACAAACCACAAATTTGAATTGAACATTGATATATGCTGATAAATATGTAAGACAGACTGTCAGTGATCAAAGTTTAAGCCAGAATTCACAAATTGTCAAATATACCCCGCTGTCAATTGTGCCCCGCTTTCCCCTATACGTGAGATTTAAAAATAGAATAGAAAGGCTCAGGTCAGTTTTGTAAACTAATAAAGATAATTAAATTCTGTAAAAGCCAATTTCTACAGTTATAAAAATATATATTTTTTTATCATGTAACCACTAGATAGAGAGCTGTTCTGAATATTGTAACACAAAAAAAACTACGTCGATATGCTTTAATAATAAATATTTGAAGAATGGAGGTACATCAGGCATTGCCTTACTTGGGAATACCCCCTCCGCTTTTTTTTAAACTGCGCATGTGCGGCAATAGCTTTGAAGTTGGCTGACCTACCGTACGTCAACTGTAATCTGTCAACAGTGTTGTTTAGTAAAATGGCGATATTTCATAGAATTCGTAAATTGACAACGCTCTATACCTTAGCCCATGTTTGAACATTGAACTATTAGTTACTTGACTATCTTTAATTCTTCAGTATTATTTATTAGAAAACTATTTGGTGTGTGAGAATGATTTCATTCGCTCCTTTATACCTAATACTGCGTCTTTACATTCGAACATTGTAGTTATATCATCACGTGGTCATCTAGTTTGTTAAAGGTAACATTTGGGAAGGCGAGACCGAGACAGGCGACAAGCAAATAGCAGCAAGCAGCAAATACTGCCGTGGTAAAACTGCTTTCGTCTCTCATGCATAGGTCGCGATGTCCCAAATATTTTTCATATAGTTAAATGTGTTCACATTTCGGTCTCCTTCTGCGGTCGCATGACGCCTGTCGCTTGCTTCGGTCTCGCGATCCTAAATGATACCTTAATTGTTAATGATTGGTGTTCTAAAAATATAATTTATTGATATAGAAAAAATGGGCCCAGAGCAATGCAGCAGTTCTATGAGAAATTACATAATTTTGCAAATTTCAACTTTATAGAGAGTTAACAGATTTGATGGGTAAAATTATTTTGTCTTGTGAAAGTGAAATACGTAATGTAATAAATTAAAAAATTAATAAGTCTCTAAACGTATATGCCAAGCGCTTTGATTATAGGTTAGGATTCCATGTTCTAAATATTATGAATGATACATGCATTCCGTCGAATACTAGTCATTCCAAACAAAATGGCTACCAGTGGGTTTGGACAGGGAACATTATGGCAACCCTGTAGCCTGGTGATTTGACTGGGTCAATGATATATATAGTTATATAGATTGGCCATCTATATTTTTTAAATAGACTTAAGCTTATGCCTTGAAGTAACAATGTAGATAATGGCCACTCGCAAACGACCTGCTTTAAGCTATCTGTATAATAATATATGTATTATTGTCCCTGTCAATGACAACAGGCCACAGGGTTGCCATATCTAAACTGACAGTTCCCACTTGTTAGCATTTTGACAGGTCATTGGAATGCCTAAAATACCCGAACATTCCCAGAAGGCGCTTATACATATACAGAGAACAAAGGATAATGATTGTTTTTGTTTGGTGCTACATTTAGCCTTTATAAAGGTCATAATTATTTAACCATAATTTTCAATATTTGTAAATAAGATAACCCCTTATCATGGTTGGAAAATTAAACTGAAAGGAGGATAAGTTATTTTTTATCCCACACCAACAGAAAACTTATAGGGCCATTTTCTTACGAAATAAAGAAACTTTTATTTGTACAGAGAGAGCTCAGAGCTCCATGTTCAAGTGACAAAAATGTTCCTGACATTTTTAATTGAAATATTCCATATATTTTTAAATTTTTAGATTGCTACTTTAGTGGTCTTTACTCTAATAGGTACTTTGTTTTAACTAAGTTTGCTGTGTTACAAAAACAAAACATTGTGTACTTACCTTTGAACTTTCAAAATTTTTACTTTTTGCAAAAACTTTACCAATATAAAGTGTGATTCACAAAAAATATTTCTAAAGTACCTATGCTATGAGCGAAAACGACGAGTCATTTGCGTGATAATTGCGCACTGCTCTAAATAAATCCAAACTGACACTAAAAAAAAAGAAAAATTGTACGCTCTGATATGCGTGAATATTTGCAAGGCCTACTTTGGAATCATTTTTGTGAATCAATCATTATTACAATCAATTCAAGGTATTGCATAGTAATTATTTCTCAACACATTTATTAGGTGTTAAAGTAGAACTCTTATCTTTAATTTCCACAATCGTTTACCTATGTTACATGTATATTTATATGCGCTTTCAGCGAATGCGAAGAAGATAAATATGTGATAATGTTCTGCTACTTTCGCGTTGGTGTCATTTACTATCATCTTCTTTCTACTTATAAAAGTTATAATTAAAATACTAACTTTCTTATGAAATTTAATTTTCACATTAGTCGTGAAAATAATTTTTGTTAGGTATGTTTGTAAATATGTATCCATAATGTTCAAATAATAATTTAGGAACTTTCGAAATGAATCGTTGGGTGTTGCGCTTTGTTTATGTCGTTAAATAGGTATTATCTGGTCTCTGTAAATTGTATTTTGTGATATACCTAGTGAATATTAGAACATTGTAAAATGCCTTTATAAATTTAAAAGTAATCGTTAATAAATATATTATATTAAATAAACTATTTTTTTTTTCTTCCTAAATTTTATTCTCTTCTGTTCTTGGTCGTGAAGAGAAAAGCCAGTCAACAGTTTGAAAGCTCTGCTAAAAGTATTAACTAATCTCGTAGGTACTTTAAAAAATGTACAAAAAAAAATATTCTTATTAGAAAAGATCTCATTAAACTCATTAAACAAAATTGAACATTTTGACATTTCCGTAGCAATATTATAAAACCTTAAAATACACCAAGGTTGTCGTTATAATAATAGGGATTTTGTTGAATTGTTCTATAGACCATATGAATTTTTTATACGTGCTAGCTTAGTGATTTTCAAATAATCACTAGGCAGACATATTTCCTTGTTTTTAAGCAGGTTGCAGTAGCACTATGGACAGAATCACACTCCATTTGAGTGTGATCCTTTTCCAAAAACTTTTGTGTTATTGAAACGTCATACTTATTTGATAAATTAAGGCTGTTCTCGCGATACACTATTTTACCTCTTACCACATATCTTGCTCATTTATGATCAGAATCCCCACTCACACTCACAGTCGTTCATCGCCAAGTTAAAGAATAAGAGAAGCAAAAGATCTCTCAGAGGACCCCAGATAAAAAAAAAGAAAACAACCGCACCTGCCGATAAGGAGTATGGAATGCCGGATAATGATATTCTAGATTTAGAAGATAGAAAACAAAAGTTTTTGGACAGTTTACCAAATTCAAGAGCCGAAATACTAGAAATTGAAATTAAAACAAGAGGGCAAGCCAGGAACACCTGTTGGAGAGAATATAGAAGTAATATGCTTACTGCTTCAAATTTCGGCACAATATGCAAATTAAAGAAAACCACGGACCCGAAAAAAACTGTTCATAACATTTTGTTTTCTTCATTCACAAATTCCAAAGCAACTAATTGGGGCAAAGAACATGAAAGCCATGCCAAAGAAGCATTTGAAAAACATTTTCAGAAAGAGGTTAAAGATTGTGGTTTATATATCTACGATAAACTTCCTTTTCTGGGGGCAAGTCCGGATGGAGTAATAAACACGTCAGAAATAATCGAAATAAAATGTCCTTTCTCATGTGCCACAATGACACCCGAAATGGGAGTTGCAGAAGGAAAGATTAAATATTTGGAAGAAAAAAATGGTACATACAGTTTAAAGAGAAACCATAATTATTTTTATCAGGTTCAAGGACAACTGGCAATAACGGGAGCACAGTACTGTTTTTTTAATGTATGGACTCCATTAGGAATGCTCACAGAAAAAATTCCACGGGATGATAAATTTTGGGAAGCGATCAAACCAAAATTAAAGGATTTTTATCATAAATATATTTTAGAAGCAATTTTAAAAAATTCTTCCTAATAACTTTTCTGTTTTTTTATTTATAAAAAAAATCGAAGGCCGATTAAATAAATTGTACAAATTAAATATTTTTGTTTTATTTTATAGCCAGTAAACAGTCAGTATTGTGATAAAATGAAGGGGGAAATTAATAAATGATCAGCAAAATTAATACTGAGCAAAATTCAGAAAAAAAAAATTTGTTCATCCAACCAGGTATTATGAATAATATACTGACAATTTTGCATGATATACTGATCACTTTATTGTGGCTCTTAAGAAATTATAGGTTTTTTAAAACCAACTTAGTGTCCGCTATCTACTCTAACCTATGGCATTTCCAAGTTAATTACCCTCTATATCATTAATTTAAAAAATAAATACCAACTGTAAGATTCATTTAATACTATAAAAAAATCTGCTAAATAATTTACACAAGTCCTTGCCTCAATTCGTAAACAGCGCATTTTATTATCTACATAGCATAAATTCACATCAACAGTCTTGTGTACTTTATTGATTTCCATATGTATTGAATAACAAAGAAAGTCATTTTATTTTTCTAAATTCAACAAAATTATTATTTAAATACTTTTTACTGTTTCTCAAAAATAATTTTATTTGTGATTTAAGTTCGCGAATTACGGAACCGACAGAACCACCGATAAATATTACAATCCGGCAATGCTGCTTCCCTTTGGACTGGCAAGACACGGCTAGCGCCGTGATCGTTGAGCTGGGCGAAGGCAGTTTTGTTGCCAAGTCGTGTAATGCAAATATTAGGGAAAGTAACAAATTAATAAATATATTCTGCAAATATATGCAATACAAGACCAATTCGGCCAGTCCGCGTCTCCGGTGTAGTAAATGCCGATAGAGAGAGACGTTCAATTTGACTGCGGGAGGAAACAAGAGAGAAGTTATTACACGTAATTGTTGTTCAGAAATAAAGAAAGTGCCTACGTGTAGACTTACTTTATGAAATGGATGAGGGCTCTCTCAACTTTGCCAAAACGAAAACCGGTGAAACAGCCTTAAGAAGGGCAATGGCGAGCAGACCATTTCCATTTTGAGCCGTACAGCCATCAAAATATATAAGGACAATGGCCTCTTCAGTTAAGAGTTGTCCTTCTAAATAGTCAACTGAAAAGGAAGCGTAAACAGATCTGTCCATCGGCAACAGTTTCGTTAAACCAATAAGATACGGCTTTGTTGTTGAGACTAAATTGTAAATCGTGAAGTTGTGACAACACAATTTTTGTTTATAGTACAACGTGTTAGCTGGTATTTCTGGAGACAGATTCACAGCCTGCACATCCATAGTTATCATGAGAAACTCCTCATTTATCGCCTTCTCCTTATCAATGTGTTCTTTATATTCTTCTGCTTCTATATTGTCCTTTTTATACTAAAAAAACATCACATTGGTCCTTTGTTGGTCGGATTATGGAGATTTTCATTTGGTCGGCAAGTTAAATCATAGTGATAACTAACATTGGATTTTGCCTCTCTTCTTGGCATTGCCTCTTGAAGACTCGGTATAAATCCGACCATGACTGAAAAGATTACTGCAAGTACATTCTATTGGTGTTTAAATAATGTGAATGAAGCTTGTTTAAATTTTGAAGAAACTCAGTGAGGAACCTTCTATCATTTTCAAAAATATCTTGTCGTTTTTCTCTCCTGCTTATTTCGGTTTGGTCGCTACATGCCATGCCATTTTCAGACTTCATTGCCCAGGACCATACGTACCATTCTCTGAGGCTAAGTTTAGGTAAACTTTCTTACAAACAGTCATGGATTTATTACTAATAGTAAAATAATTATTTAGTGTTTGTGATCTACGAGAGGTTTCAATTTTTTTGACGACCTCTTTTTATCACATTTCTAACAAAAACTTTTTGCTGCTTCCAAGTCATATCTTCCTAGAGCTTTTTGAATAGCTTTTCTCGATCTTCGTTTGAAATTAGAAAACATTTTCTTGTAGCACCATTCATCTTCCCTATATTTGAACATTTTCTTTTAATTTTCTTCCACTACGTTTTTTTTGAACGTATTTTTTTTGATTTTTGGACTTTGTGAATCTCAAGTTGTTTTTTTTTTTATTAATAGCCCTTTTACTGTACCCTTTACGTTTTCTATGTACATGTTCACTTGCAGGTTGATCTTCTAAATCGCTATCCTCTTCTGATACTTGCCCTTGCGGTTCTTGATCTGAATAATTATCTTCGACTATGCTTTCTACAGATGAGTCAGCATCGTTGCGTCCCATAGTGGCGTCGTAATTGGGATCAGAAAGGTTTTCTTCGGGTTTTATCAAGAGAAAATTTGTAACGCTTTGATCAAAACTGGCTTCTACATTGTTTATTTTAAAGCTAGGATCTCATATTGTAGATTCCATGATTTCCAAATTGGCAATTTGTTCAAGAGAATTCCTGGCACCGAACTACTTTCGAATACGACCTCTGTGTTACTGATTAATTCAGAAATATCTTCAGGGCTCAGAAGCTGTTCCAAGTTAAGCTCGAGAAAAGATTGTTAAGATCACTTATATTTGTCAAATTCAGATCATTTTCTTGTTCATGGTTTTCGTTTAGTGTTTCTGATTCATAAGTGCAGAATTTTAGCTATTGCGACTATCTTGCTAGGTTGGACATTGTTATATTAGTAGTTTTATACACTAACTCGTAAGTGCTAATTGTATTTGAATTTTCAAACATGCAGGACCTCGTAAGTATCACCTGGAAAGAAAATGCTTTTTGGGGTGAAGAAAAATATTTTTATTGTAGAATAAATGGGACAAAAACATTTAACACCTTCAAAACAACTCTTTTAAAACTAATAAAAAATTATAGTTATTTTAAATATCTTACCAGCTAAAAACACGAAGTACTTCCACGAACTAACATATGTCTCAAAAGTTTTAGGAAAAGAGTAATGGTAAAATATTTGATAAAATTTTTAATTTATTTTCTATTTTAACAACATAACTAAATAACTACGTTATATCTCAAGAACCGTGCCTGCTATTTTCGATTAATTTTCACCGCTAGATTATGCTTCAAGATACGCAACTTTTTCTTCATTTAACCGACTGTTTAACTAGTATGGTTTGGAAATTACTAATACAATCCCATTAAAAAAGTGGCCACCCTGTATATACGAAATAATTTAACAAAACAAAGTACTTAAAAAAAAACATCAATGTTTGATGTTTTTTTAAAAATTTTTATATTTTTAAAATAAAAGTGTGAAAATCTACCAAATTTGGTTTTACTCTTTCAAGAACTACGTTAATTCTTATTTCTACTAAATATTCACATGACGAATAATGGTCCATTCTCTTCTATTGCACGTAATATGGTCCCTACATGTGCCATCAGTCTTTGGACTTCCCGGATTTTCTGGTATATTATGCGCCTTAGATGTTCCTCATTTTGGGCTTCCCAACTGCCACCGTACACTTTTTTGCTCACTATAGACCAAAAATCTTCAATGGGTCTCGCCTGAGGTACATTTGGAGGGTTGTCGACCTTGGGAACAAAATTGATTCCATTTGCAGCTAACCAGTATGCCGTTCTTCTGGCGTAGTGAGACGCTAAATCAGGACAGAATATTATTTGGTTGTTACGAT